TTGGTTTGTTGCTTGTTGTTGGGGCTTTCCGCCTTCAGTCTGGACTTTAAAGTTGAATGCAGCGCCATTAGATTTAGAATAAACAGGTTTGGCCAGCTTTTCATAGTAAAAAGCTCTTAGGTTGCTCTGGCTGCTTGTTAAGGATCATTGTTCTTCTGAATGACGAAATGCTGGTCAACAAGTTTTGAAGCATTTTGCTGAATATGAGCACACAGAATAGCCCTGTTATACCTCATACATTCATTCTGTTGCTTCTGTAGATGAGGTGGTATGCTTCAGGCCATGAGATGTTACCTTTCTTTCTCTGCACTTTCTCCTTTTCAAAACTTTGATCGAGGTGGATTTTTGCGTCAGTGGTCCACAGAGCTTTCAGAGAGAGTTTCTTGTTCTGTAGGAATGTATAGGTTTGTCTGTCTGTCTCTTCTAATCAGACTTTTACTATTTCCCTCCCTTTTTTTTATCAGCTTCCCCCTATAAAGTTTGTTTTCATATTTAGCAGTATGCAGAAGTAAAGTGCAAGGCAGTGCAGCTCAGTTACAGTGTTGCTGAGCTGTCTTTTGGACTCTGGAGTCTGACTAATGCATGAGTGTAGACCTGCACTGAACAGTCATTCCATAAAACTAACATTTACTTCCAAAACTAAACACCTAATCTTAATTCCTACATTAAAATCTAATGCGACAGAAAGCAAAAGGCAGAAAGATTTATGAGAAAGCATTTTAAAACATGCATAAGGTTTACACTGAATGGGATTTTTTTTGTTATACCACTGAACTTATGAACCACATTCATTCACAAAGTTTAAACAAATTCCACAAAGGTTTCGTGCAATAATCGTGTTAACCAGCAGATGTCCATGTTTTCTTATTTGTAACAACAGACCCACTTCGTCACACAGGTGGTACAGCTCTGAACTATGGGTAAACATTTGGACATAAATCAACAGAAGATGCTTGAATTAATCGGACACTCATCTATGACATTATTAAATAAAATCTTGCAGTTTAATATTTGCATAGGCTCCTTTCTACCAATGTACAGCAACGTAACAGGATTATTTAGCAGTCAGAGAAATGGCACATGGAAGTTTTTAGCCCTTGTTTTTTCTTTGGTATTAAATGTGAAAGCCGGGTTGAGTTGGTAAATATCGACCTATATTTAGCAGTAACAGAACTGACTCAATGGTTGTGATGTCTCCTGTAGCCAACCTACTACTTCAACCACACACTCCACACACAATCCAGTGAGTTACAGTCTAAACCAAAGACAAGTCATAGCAGATCGAGCTAAAAATACTCACTTTACTCGAGAAATTCTCAAGCGCCTTCTCTTGGCAGTTCGCCCACCCCATTAACACACGGTAAACAATGCTATACACGATGATTAACATCCGTGTAGTGTTAGACGGTGAAGGGAAAGTACATGATGATGTAGGACTGGACAGAATAAGGACAGGAGTCATAAAGCAGGAATGTTTGGTCATCTCAACAGCAGGACAAAATTGGTTTGATTAAACTGGATAATAACTGTACTGTTTTACTTTCTTTCTTTCACCATTAATGTATCTCCAAGGATGTTAACCATAGAGATAAAGGAATAGTTTGACATTTCAACCATGTCCGGTGGATTCAGATGAGAAGATTCA